TTTTTGAGATGGAGTTTCGCTCTTGTTGCCCAGGCTGGAGTGCAACGGCACAATCTTGGCTCACTGTAACCTCCCGCCTCCTGGGTTCAAGTGATTCTCCTGCCTCAGCCTCCTGAGTAGCTGGGATTACAGGCACGAGCCGCCAACCCCTGCTAATTTTGTATTTTTAGGAGAGACGGGGTTTCTCCATGATGGTCAGGCTGGTCTCGAACTCCTGACCTCAAGTGATCCGCCCACCATGGCCTCCCAAAGTTCTGGGATTACAGGCGTGAGCCACTGCACCTGGCCATATTTTTATTTTTAAATGCGAAAACACACTCAAAGTAGAATGATTCAAGATTATCTTAACCTCGTAAGGATCCTCTAAAGTTTACATCAAAAAGCCTGTTTCCAGCCGTTCAAGGTAACACAAGTTATACAATAAGGCATAAAAAGCCAATACAATCCCCAAAGCAGCAATTTTTAAGGGTCAGACCCGATGTTACTTATCAGTATTGAAACACTCATAATAGCACAGCTACCCTTTAGAGCAGCATTGCCCAGTACAACTTCCTGCAGTGATCACTACTGAGCACTTGAAGTGTAACTAGTGTGATTAAAAACCTGATTTTTCAGTGGCTGGTAACTGCTATATTGGACAACAGAGCTTTAGAATCTTAACTATCCTTTAATATTCAGAAACTGGAAATGTAAGAAAGGCACCAAAATTATGGTAAAAGGCCCTTCCAAAAACTGGGAAAAAGAATCTTTAATCTGTAGAATACAATTATCAAGTTGTCATCAACAAGCGTTAGTTTTCACCAATACACTATAGACTAGCACGTTACCTAATGTATAAAAATAATTCTGTAGTAATATTCTAATAATGGGGAAAATGTTTACTGACCTTTCACCTTTGCTCTAAAAGGTGAAATTTACATAAAAAGTGTCCTGAATTACAATTCTCAGATTAATAAAAACTGCCCAAATTCTTCACTCTTTCTCCCTCAGCAACAAAGCAGACAACTACTACTTATAAAACCCACAAAGGTGTCTGAGGAATAATGAAATTATATAATGCAGTTGGCACCATATAACATGCATTTCATGATCTATATTATACATGTAAGGGCCTTTTACATTTTTATTTCTCATTTAGGAAATTCTTCTAAATCAATTTACTCCTTTTGTTAACACAACTGTTGACATAAAAAGAACAAGTATCTTAAGAGACTTCTTAGAGTATCAGTGAAAGGATATAAAAGAGCTAAAGATAATTGTTAGGATGGGGTGAGTCAGATAAGGAAAATACCTATAACCAGAAAATTATTTTCCATTATTGGTAATCACAGATACCTTAAAAGCAGGCATAAAAGGCAAACTGTAATTATAAGAAAATAGACCTAAAGAAAAGCATCTGGCCTGTATATAAAACATGATTTTAGAATATTTAGCAAATATTAAAATATAAAGAGGTTCATGCATACAAGAGCAAAATGACAACTATAAAAATTAAAGCCACAGAAGGTCCCCATTATGTGTTTGGTTGGCTTTAAAAAGTGAATTACAAATCTTTTTATTGTCTCATACAAAATTATCTAGTGTATAATAGACGAAATGAAGTACAAGGGGAAAACAAATAGATAACCTACTAAATGGTTCAGAGAAATTCAGCGTTAACCACATAAGAGAATCTAGGAAGAAAAGAATTAGTAACAAGGCTGTATATTACACATTCTAGCAGTGCCAGAACCTATGTGTTTAATTTCCAATTAAAATTTTCATTTTACTCCAAGTTTTCCTATACATTTAGAGCTTATAAATTTTTAAAAAATTTAATTCCATTGGGATGTGGAAATATGATTTGGTAATACAAACCAGCAAACTGCTTAAGATAAAGATGATCTTAACATCTAAGCATTCACTAGACCTTAACAATACTACCTCTGGACCCCTAAAACATTTGATTGGTACTAAATCCATGGTAATGGTTGAGTAGAGTTATTACTGCACTTATGTCAAAGATTACATCCTAATCTTCTACTCAATAAACCTCTGCTAACTTTATTACCAAGAATTAATGCCCCTGAGGACTATTTTTAAAATATTAGTTTTCCAACTTTTTTATTTCATTGTTTATAAATCAAATTCACACAAATACAGTCAAAGTTCTGTAGTCACTCCTTACTGAGGATGATGCTGGCTGGTTTCTGAGTATGAAGACGATGCTATGGCAGTACCGCACACAGTCTGATGAGTTGTTTTTCCATAAGAAATGGATTTATGCAGCTTCATCCACAATGTCTATCCATTCATACTTATGTCAAAGAGCATTCATATGCAAGACAATTGGTGGGATTAGGGATTATAGCAAAGCTAATTCAACCCTCTTATGGAGATAAAATCTGTGATCTTTGCCTAAATGTTTTATGCTCAAGAACAAAGAACCACAAACTCCATTTATATTTATTAAAATGAAAAAGGCATAGATAAAAATTACTATTCATTTCAAAGGTTGACCATTTAAAAGAACTATCTTTTACTCTAGAAGCCTTTATTTCAAACTCTTAACAAGGAATCAAAAGGGTTAATGCTCCCATAAAATGTTACCAAAAGTATTTCACAACGTTGGTATATAACTAACTGTATAAATAATAAATTCATTACTTTTACCTTCTATATATACAATATAGTATATTTAGATGGTAGCTAAATAACCGCAACTAAACATTTTAAATTGACTATTTCCTCTACATGTTTTAACATTATTGCCAGGTAAAAGTGCAGATATGAAAGCAAAAGGCAATCCTGTCTCTTTGCCCCAGTATTTTGGGATTCTTCTCTTTAGAATTAATCTGTATGTTCTTTTCAGTCTAATCTTGTAAGTAGCTTAAAGAGGTTTTATATCAAATAGTTACATATATTGTCCCAAAAGAGACATCATCTGCTTTATTCATTTAGCCCTTTGAAAAGAATTGTAAAATAATTTTACCTTCTAGGATTCTTCTTTGGTAAGAAAAAAAATTTTTTTAACAAAAAATAATAATGTCACCATTATTTGAGTACCTTTCTCTATCAACTTTTCCCACCAGATTTAAGAATAATTCTCCTCAACCTTTAAAATCTGACAACTTTTGATGACAAACAAGGCTAAGGCACCACAGTGTTGAGATTGAAAATGGCTAAGTACTAAATTTCAAATACACATACATACACACACACACACACACTCTCTCTCTCTCAAAAAAGTGTAAGCATCAGGAGTTACTAAGCACTTTCCCCATGATTGAACTGAAGAAATTCAAAACAGTTATGCTCACTTATCTTCTCAGGAAGATCCCTTGGAATTCTGCAATATTTGTTAAGTCTTCACTTCACTGGAAAATATTTGTCATACAAACTCTCTCCTTACCTATTTTTTTTCCTAACTCTTTTTTAAATGCTTAATCTGCAGGAAATTACTAAAAGCATACATATTAGGATTTCTAAGTAAGTCTGTTCAACCCTCTTATCATGGTTTATATTCAGCTACAAGAAGATTATGTCAGCTGCAAATGTCAGTTAACCTTTCCCTCTTGAGATATGCAGGTAGCCTGATTTGGGGATTAACAACTCAAATGGTCTCACTAAAATATCCAAACCAACTCTCTCTCTTAACTGGTGATGGCATAACTTGCTTCACTTGTTGAATCCCATGGGAATACAGATTATCACCAGTAACTGTAAGTTGCACTGGCTAGTTATCATGTCCAGCTTCACTCTATAGAACTTGTTCTCAAAATGCTGCAGGTCAAACAAAAAAAAGTGAAAATGTCACCTGTGAATAGCTTGGGGAAAAAAGCACTGCTATCAAAAAGTTTCTGATTTGGGTTCTGTTCACGGTCTGATTTTATAAACAGGTTTTATTTGTTGAATTGGAAGTGTTTACTGGAAGATGATGATACGGCCAAGCCAAGGAAGGGAACCTGCCGTGAAGAGTACAGGTGTCTCTGACCTACATATGCAAGAACTGCAAGAAAAATGTCCAGATGGGCATCAGATACCTAGTCCAGTCCTTGGCAAAAGTCTGGGCTTTGGAAACCAAGGGCGAGAGGTGATGACAACTAATCTGTAGTATTTAAAACTCCCACCCCCCTATTAAAACTCCACCCTCCCAGATCCCCCAAGCGTGATTTTGCACAACAAGTTAAATAAAAGTAAACTGTTTATTAAAAGATACAGCAAAGGTACAGATACAGAGATACATACAAAGATACAGATATATATATATATTTACATATATATACAGTCTTGCTGTTTTCATGTGCACTATATTTAGCAGCACATTATTTAATCAGGCGGCATTTTAATGGGGTTGTTTTGACACTTGGCATTATTAAGATACAACTATAGCCCCGTGGAAATTTCAACGTGTGAATTCCACTTCTCCGACTTTTAATAGTAGCAAAGGGGGGAAGGAGAAGGGAATGGAGTACCAAGGCTGAGCATTAGGTTAAACACAAGAATTTAAAAGGGCCAAGGTAGCAAAGGGAAGGAAAAATAATTAAAACTAAAGGCTATCTGACAAACACCCCAGAGAAACAGTAAGAAACCATCATTAAGGGCAATGGGCTATGTACCCAAGATGCTCACATCAGCCTACAATGACCTTTTCCAATCCAGTTCTTGTGTTGAACCTGAGGATCTGCCCCTCTCCGCTCAATCCCTCCACCCGATAAATTTGCTACCACCAAAATCTAGAGCTATAGAGCCTTGAAGCAAATCGGGAAGCTAAATAGTTGTACCTTGGACTACCTTCCCACAAGTGCAGGGAGGGCCCAATGTTGGGTAGGGATGTGATAACACTGTTCTCTGCAATTCGATGCTTTTCACTTTGTGGCTTGGTTCCACAAAGTGAATTGCATCGAGTTACTGTCAAATGAGAAGCTGCGGGTTGTTTCATCTGTCGTCTAACCCGGCCCTGCCGTTTAACCCGGCCCTAAGAAGAGTGAAACAGAATCCAAATCAGATATAAAATAACAATGAAATGGCAGATTCAGGTATAAAAAAGGAAAAATACATAATATTCCTCCTACTTACCTCTGAGGGCAAATTGCTGCTGAAAACATTATCATCATCTTTGTTTTCTTCACCATTTTTCTCTACAGGAACCCATTCTCCATAAACACTATCCGCTTCTTTTTTCCGATGTTGAGATCCAGATGATACAGGGAATTCTTTTGTTAATGTTACCTGGCTTTTTGGTGGAGTTGGTTTTGCTGCAGCAATCTAAAAAATAAAGTGTTTCTTAATTAAAGTTCAATATCTGCATTAAATGGTTTCTGAGATTTTCGACATCTGAAGGAAATGATACTGTACATTATTTCTCACAGTATTTAAAACAAAAATTAATAAACTAAATTCGATTTGGGTTTTATTTAAATAGTTCCACAAGTTACACTGTTTTACCAATCCATAAGCACTAATACTCACATTCAGATTGAAAAAAATAGGTTTGGGTTCACTGAGTTTAAAAGGATGATGATAAAAAGGAGGTTCTTCTTCCTCTTCATCCGAAACATGAGGTTTATTCACTATTACATCATCATCTTCTTTACTCTGTGCGATCTGTTTACATTTCTTTAAAAGTAAAAACAAACAAAAGATAAATCTTACGCTTTATGTACAACATGTAATTTCTTAGAATCAAAACCACATAAAAGCAACTTTCCAAAGTTAAACAAGATTCATGATAGGTTATAGATAAACATAACTTGGCATATTAACTAATATTTAAACACACTCTGGCTGGTCAGTCAACAACATTTATTGAGCACCTACTATGTGCAGAGAGCGCACTGTACTGGGCACTGTCTGGGGAATACAAAAAAAAAAAAAAAGAAGAAGAAGAAGAAGTAGAAGACATGGTCCCTGCTCTCAAGGAGCTTACAATCTAGTACAAGAGAAGGAATACATATACATGAAATAATTGAACACTTTTACAGAGCAACACAATTAACAAGTGCAAACTGATATAATACAAACTGAGTACATAAGTGCTAAAAGAACAAAGGCTTGAGAGAGAATAGAGTCAGGCAGAGTTAGAGAATCAAGGAATATTCCTTGAAGAGTTCTAAGCCAGATTTTCATAGTGAAGAACAAAGACTGGTAGGGAAAGGAAAAGTCATCCTACTCAGATGGTGGTAAAAAGGTTAGAAGAAACTTGGGACAAGAAGGCTGAAGATGGGGCCAAAAACAGCAAAATATTAACTGTCCATAGCATTTTGGATAAGGAGCTTGGATTAGGTAAATAAGCAATAGAAGCGTTTACAAGGTCCTCAACTTTTTTTTTAAAAAGTTGTAATTCATATTGTAATAAATCTAAGTGAGGAAACAGATTCAGAAGCTTTACATTTTCCCAAATGTATGGCAAAACAAAAGATCTGAAACATTTGCAACAGGATAAGATAGCAACATGTCTCTCCATAAATGTTTTGTGGGTTGAGGAGAACTTAGGAAAATAAGGCATGATGGAGAGGGTGCAATTGATGAGGTCTGATACATAAAGCAAAGTCAATTCCTTCCTGAGATGCAAAGGAACAGACTCCATTACCTGGCTTTATAAAAAGGTCAAGAGTAAATTTGGGTAGACCTGTCTCTATACAAGCAGTAGATTTAATGACATCTATTATCAATTGAAAATATTACAATAGGATAAAAAGCTCATTTCGCCAAAAACACAAGAGTATATTAAGCTTGTAATCAAGGGGAACAGAATATATTGACAGTGGCAGGCTGGCATAAGGCTAGCCAATAACAAGTTCCAATATATGAAACAGTGTGGTATTTCTGGATCCTAGCAGCAATATTTTAGCATCTCCCCCCTCCCACCCACACCAAAAAAATAGTAGTAAAACAAAGCCCCAAAAAAGCCTCAATTGAAAAGATCAAACTTTTAAAAACAAAAATAAGTGTGTTTAAAATATATATGTTACTGCCAAAACCCGAACCGCAGGAAGAACTGATAATGGCCGGCCATTATCGCCAATGGCTGGTACCAAACAGCCAAAACCCGAAATGTTGATGCGAAAGAAGTTCCTTTCAGGCAATGGCCAGCTATTCTTATTAATTTCCAAGCTCCGGTGGCAAAAGATCATTTCTGAAGATTGTCTGTGTCTTTGCGTATATGCAGTATACTCGTGGCGATCAGTGAACGCGTCGTGAATGGAAACGAAACTGTAGGCGAGCTTCTGCGTGTTGCTCACTCAACACCTCCTCCATTCAAACGAACCGTCCCACTCCTCAGTCAGTTTGGCTTCTAAAACTGGAAAGCAAAAGTAATGGGAAGTAACTTTTAGCTAGCGGAGCTTAGCCATCCCGGATAATGGCCTGCTAAACAGAGCTTCTGCCGCTGCCACATCTGTATTTCGGGTTTTGGCCACTCGGTGCCAGCCATTATCAGTTCTGCCCACAATTCGGGTTTTGGCACGCTCCAGAGTCAACATCACTGGAATAATCCATTTAAGAATGAAAACAAATTCTGTCTAGCTTACCTCAGTTAGTTCTTCTATAGTAGCTCCTCCTGACTTTTTAGCAACTTTCTCTTCTATAGTAGGTGGAGGTGCAGGCTTTAGGTTTGGCGGTAAAGGGACACCAGCCTTAGCACACATGGCAGCTGCATTAGCTTTGGCTATTTCAAGTAATTGAGCCTTATCTGTAAGAAGAAAAATACAAGCTGCAGTTTTCCTAAAAGGCTGTACATTTTGTATCACCAAAAGTCTAACATACTAACAAAACTAAAGGCATCCTAGATCCATTGAAGAACTTGGATATCTAATAAAAAAGAAAAAAAAAGGAAAAAACTGTAGGCATCAATATTCTGCTCTATTATACCTGTGATCAAACCACTGGCTCAAAGTTTTTAAGCAGTGGCCTCATTCAAAGAATTGAGTCCACATATTGAGTTTCCCATTTGAATATTACAATACGTTACTACACAACTATAATGATCACCCTACTACACATACTCTAAGATATAAACCTGCCAAAGCCAATTTTATTTCACAAAATTATCACGACCCTACTCTCTAATCTGACACCTTAAATCACTCTTTGAGCCCCAGTTAAAGTGCCTTTTTTTTTTTTTTTTTTTTTTTTTTTTTGAGACAGAGTCTCACTCTGTTGCCCAGGCTGCAGTACAGTGGCGCCATCTTGGCTCACTGCAACCTCCACCTCCCGGGTTCAAGCGATTTTCCTGCCTCAGCCTCCCGAGTAGCTGGCACTACAGGCGTGTGCCACCATACCCGGCTAATTTTTTGTATTTTTAGTAGAGACGGGGTTTCTCCATGTTGGCCAGGCTGGTCTCGAACTCCTGACCTCAGAAGATCCACCCGCCTCAGCCTCCCAAAGTGCTGGGATTACAGGCATGAGCCACCGCGCCCAGCGTAAGTGCCACCTCATCCAACAAGTTGTCATTAAGTCAGAATTAACATTCCTTTTCCCACTGCATTCCTAAAGTACCTCACCTCTATCAGTATTATAGCAATTACATTCTGTTCTTTCTTAGTGTTACTATTTGGTAAGAGAGACATATATGCATTTTACCCATATCTCCTCCACCAACTTGTAATCACTTGAGGAATTACATCCTGTTCCACTGCTGTGAATAAAAAAGAACTCAGAAAACTTCTGTTGAACTGATGAACTGAATGCAGATTCTCCCTTTTTACTCTTAACCTCTTTTTCTTTAGTCAATCCTGGCCTAGAAATGTCCAGTATACTGGGATAAGGATAAATCATCCATACATATTGTAGGTAATCATGCATATCAATCAAGTTTTAATCACCTCTGTACACTACTTAAAATCAGGGGAAATTAGAGCAGTTATTTTTAAAGTAAAGCAGAACGGGTTATTAAAAAATCACTCTGATCTAAAATATTTAACTTTATTTAGCTAGTATCACCTACCCAGTTAAATAACCCCCACATGCAAAATTCCCTACTCACTTCCATTACCAACTATACCAATCGGAATTACCTTCACTAACATTTAACAGTCCTATAATGCCATTTTAAGATATGTTAACTTATTTAAAAAGGAACATTGTAATTTTAGGCTTATTTGCAAGGATGTATGTTAGAACACATAAAATAACAATCTGAGCATACACTTAGATTGTTTTTAATTTAGCTAGAGTTCTACATCTGCTTCTGCTTTCCATTTTTAGCTATGGCAAGATAACTGAAACAAAATAAAACATTCAAGTATGGAAACACCTTGATTTTACTATACTCCGACACAGGACTTTTTAACTCTAATTTCAATACACTGATCCCAGTACTTCTAAATACAGTACCATTTAATCATAAAAACTTAAAGACAGAAACATTGATCCTAAACCAGTAAGTAAATATTTCACTTGACTCGAGATCAGAAAAAATTAAGGTTTAAAACATTTTCTACCACCATCCCATTAAATTTTAAAATGACTCACCCAAATCTGTCAGACGTTTGGGTGATCTGCCTCGTTCAGAAGACCTGGATCTTTTACGACGGATGGGAGATCTGCTAAACCTTCTTCTCAAGGGTGTTCTTGATCGCCTTAATCTGACTGGTGAGATACTGAAGCTTCGTCGTCTTACCACAGACCTCGATCTTCTCCGGCGGCTTGGGGTGCGGCTCCGACGACTGGGGGTGCGGCTCCGGCGGCTGGGGGTACGGCTAAAGCTCCTTCTCCTACCCACAGATCTAGACCTTCGTCGACGACTTGGAGTATGACTCCGACTCCGGCGACTTGGGGTTCGACTTCGAGCTCTAACTGTCTTTCGGTTATCCCTGGAGCTTGATCTTTTTCTTTTCCTTTCCCTAGACTTGGATCTGTGCTTTGGAGATCTTTTGCGCTTCTCTTTTGATACAGATCGTCTTCCTCTAGACTTTGATCTTGATCTGCTGCTCCTCCTCCTGCGTCTTGAACGTGACCGTGAACGTGTTTGAGAGCGGTGAGACTTGGACTTAGATGATCTCTTCCTTGCCCGAGAACGAGATTCACTGGTACGCTTGCGTGATTTGTGTTCAGAAGACTTGGAACGCTTACTTCGAGATCTTAATGAAGAGTCTCTTTTCTTCTCTTTCTCACCCTTATCACGGTTCTTATTTTTCTTGCTTTTTTCATGAGTGTCCTTAACTTTTACAAAAATTTCATAATCATCTTTTTCCTCTGATGACGACTCTGAAGCTCTTTCTGGCATACTACTTACAACTGGGCTGGCAGCAGATTTGTCACGTCCAACATCACTTGCAAGTAAAGGTCCTTCAATGCCAGCTCTAAGGCTTGTAAGACGTTCCATGTCCTTAGGAAGTAATGGTCTCACTAAATCTGCTTCATTAATATCCTCAATATTGGCAGAAAATCCTGAATCAGACAGTGTCTCTTTAGGAGGGGAAGGTACTTCTTTTTCTCCTCCACTACTTTCTTTAGGGCTGAGCAGAGCTGCTAACGTCTGGTCACTCTCTTTTACAGGTAATGGTTCTTCTGTATCCTTACTAACAAGGTTATTATTAGATGGTAAATCAAGATGAATATCTTTAGCAGGCAAAGGCCCTTCAATGTCAGCTTCACTACCACCACTAGGACTGGTGGAAATTACCATGTCATGTTCAGTATCTTGAGTAGTTAAAGATACATCAATATCATATTTATTAACTGAACTGAGAGTAGATGTTGTGATAAATTCAATACCCTTACTAGTTCCTGTTGCATCAGGTTCCAGAGCAAGAGGACCAGTAGAAGATAGAGTTTCTCCTGCATCAGCTTCACTAACACCAGGGTAGGTATCCAATACTGTGCACTGTTTAGTCTCACTGGTGGGCAAAATTTTCTCTTCACCAATTTCCCCAACAGGACCAGTACTAGCAGCACACACTGTATTATGTTCCATTTCTTTAGCAATTAAATGATTATTAAGGTCTATATTTATACCATGTTCACTTTCATAAGAGTCACTCTTCAGGTGTACCTCAGCATGTGGCTCTTCACCTGAATGCAAAGGAATCTCCTGCATGCCAATCTCTGGAGCAAGATTTTGATCACCAGAGGGTAGATTAATTCCTTTCATAACATGTGATGACATGATACTAGATTCCAGTATCATTGGTGTGGACTCTATAGCCACCTCAGTTGGTATTACTTGAGTCTGCTCTGAGACAGTGACAGCAGGCTCTGAAACTGTCACAGTAGACTCCTGGACAGAAACAGATGGTTCTGAAACAATCATAGAAGGTTGAAGGACTGACACCGCTGGTTCCAAGACAGGCACAGAAGGCTCCAGCACAGAAACAACTGGCACAGGAATGGTAATATAGTCTGGCTCAGCCACAACAGGAGGCTCCGGGACAGTCACAACCGAAGGCTCCAGGACAGTCACAGTCGAAGACTCCAGGACGGTCACAGTTGAAGACTCCAGGACGGTCACAGCCGAAGACTCCAGGACAGCCATAGCCGAAGACTCTGGGACAGCCATGGCTGGAGGCTCCAGAATGCTCTCTGCCAGCACTGGAGTAGTTACTGCTGGCTCCAACAAGGATGTAGATACCTCTGAGGCAACATATCCTGAGGCTCTCATGGATTCAAATGTTTCTGCTGTCTCTGACAAAACAGGAGGCTCTGATGCTAGCACAGTTGGTTCAGCTGACATTGTGGGAGTTTCAGACACCATACAAGTCACTGGTCTCTCTGGAACAATTTCATGTTCTTCTGCTACTACCGCAGACTCTACAGGTGTTGATGTAATTGAAGATTCTGGCTCTGGCGGTGGTTCTGGAACAGTCACAGTAGCCTCTGATACTAAAACTGAGGGATCTGATGCTGACATTGAATAATCAGTAGGCACTGCTGAAGGCTCTGAAATCTCACTTTGACTCACAGGAGGCTCAGGCTGCGATACAGACTCTTCAGAAGGTAATGATGGCACCTCTGCAGGCCACGTATTTTCAGCTGTTAATGCTGACTGCTCAGTGGGCAATGCTGGACCCTCTGGTGGTTCCTCAGGAGGCAACGGTGGTGTCATTGGTGGCTCCTCAGGTGGCAACGGTGGCATTGTTGGGGGCTCTTCAGGAGGCAAAGGTGGCACCATATATGCCTCTGTATATGTGTCAGTGTAAGAATCGGTGTAAGAATCAGCAGCCATAGACATCATTGAACGATCAGCAGTATAAGATGACATCATAGATCGGTCAGCTGCAGAGTACGATGACATCATAGACCGGTCAGCAGCAGAGTATGACGACATCATAGACCGGTCGGCACCCATGGACATCATAGATCGATCAGCCATTGGGGACATCATGGAGCGTTCATAAGCTGACATCATAGAGCGTTCATAAGCTGACATCATAGAGCGCTCAGCCATAGGGGACATCATAGAGCGCTCATAGGCTGACATCATAGAGCGCTCGTAGGCTGACATCATAGAGCGCTCAGCCATAGGGGACATCATAGACCGCTCATAAGACATCATAGAGCGTTCGTAAGATGACATCATGGAACGTTCTGCAGCATAGGACATCATCATAGAACGTCTAGATGCTAACATCAGGGGTCTAGGTGCTAACCTATATGGCCTGGGTGCTATTCTATAGGACCTGGGTGCTATCCTATAGGGTCTAGGTGACATCCTATAGGGATCAGGAGTTAGTCTGTAGGGATCATGGCCTAATCTATAAGGGTCCTGTCCTAACCTGTAAGCATCATGACCTAATCTATAGGGGTCATGGCCCAACCTATAGGGATCCTGAGCTAACCTGTAAGGATCCTGAGCTAACCTATAGGGATCAGGAGATTTTGAACCCAACATAGCAGAATCTTGGGTACTAGACGCTAACATCTGGGCATCCATGGTACCAGACGCTAACATCTGAGCATCCATGGTGCCAGAAGCTAACATTTGAGAGTCCATAGTGCCAGATGCTAACATCTGGGAATCCATTGAGCTAGTTGCTAACATCTGGGAGTCCATGGTGCTGGTTGCTAACATCTGAGAATCCATGGTGCTGGTTGCTAACATCTGGGAGTCCATGGAGCTGGTTGCTAACATCTGGGAGTCCATGGAGCTGGTTGCTAACATCTGGGAGTCCATGGACTGGTTGCTAACATCTGGGAGTCCATGGAACTGGTTGCTAACATCTGGGAGAGCTGGTTGCTAACATCTGGGAGTCCATGGAACTGGTTGCTAACATCTGGGAGTCCATAGTGCTAGTTGCTAACATCTGGGAGTCCATGGAGCTAGTTGCTAACATTTGGGAGTCCATGGTACTAGTTGCTAACATCTGGGAGTCCATGGTGCTAGACGCTAACATCTGGGAGTCCATGGTGTTGGATGCTAGCATCTGGGAGTCCATGGTGTTGGACGCCAGCATTTGGGAGTCCATGGTGTTGGATGCTAATATATGGGTCTCCATGGTGTTAGAAGCTAATATATGGGATTCTGGGGCCATCAAGGGATCCACTCCTACTGTTACAGAAGTCTCCCCCACTAATGTAGTAGGCAGCTCCTGTGCTACCGTATTATAGGATTCCAGCGCTGTCGTCGAGGGCACCTCCAGGGACTGCGACACGGTCATCGTTGACAGCTCCGATGTTGTCACCACAGACTGAACAGAGATCTCCAGCGCCACAGTTGCCACAGGCTGCCCAGGCAACTCTGGCGCCCCAGGCTGCCCTGGCAACTCCAGCACCCCTGTTGCCAGAGGCTGCCCCAAAAGCTCCAGTGCTCCAGCTGCCCCAGACTGCCCCGAGAACTCCAGTGCCCCAGCTGCCATGAGCGGCCCAGGCAACTCTAGTGCCCCAGTTGCCACAGGCTGCCCCGACAACTCCAGTGCCCTAGTTGCCGAAGGCAGCCCTGGCAACTCTGGCACCCCAGTCACCGAAGGCTGCCCCGGCAACTCCAGCGCTGTTGTTGCCACTGGCTGTCCTGGCAACTCCAGCACCATCGTTGCCTCAGGCTGCCCCAGCAACCCTGTTGCCGTTGTCACCTCAGGATGCCCAGGATGTTCCACCGTTGTCATCCCCACAGGCTGCTCCAACTCTGTCGTCGTCACAGGTTGTTCGGTCAACTCCATTGCTACTGTTACCGCAGGCTGCTCTGGCAACTCTACTGCTGCTGTCACCAAAGGCAGCCCTGGCAACTCCTGTGCCATCACAGGTGGCTCTGGTACCTCCTGTGGTGGCTCCAACCCCATGGATGGTGCTGGAAGCCCTGGCAATTCCTGCGACAACTGTGGCACTGGTGTCACAGAGGGCCCTGGCAACTCAGGCACTGCTGTCGCAGGGAGCCCTGGCAACTCAGGCACTGGGGTAGAAAGGGGCCCTGGCAACTCTGGCACCGGGGTAGCAGAGGGCCCAGGTAACTCCGGCACTGGAGTCACAGGGGGCCCCTGCAACTCCGGCATGGAGGTCGCAGGTGGCCCCGGCAACTCCATCGCTGAGGCCACCGACGACTCCTGCAGCTCCAACGCTGTGGTCTTAGGCAGCTCCGGCAACTCCTGCGGTCTTGTCATGGATGAATCTGCAATCTCCGATGGTACGTCTACAGGCTGCTCTGGCAATCTTAGCGCTTCAATTGCAGATGACTCTGGAAAATCCATTGTTGTTGATGTGCTTGGCTCAGGGTACACCTCAGTAGGTGTCTCTGATGATACCACAAGGGTTTCTGAAGGCTCTAACACTTTTGCTACTGGGGGCTCTACCAACATGATCTTGGATGGCTCTGGAGATGTGCTCTCCACAGATTTCAGCACAGACTTCATCTGATACTCCACTGACATTGTTACGACTGGCTCAGATGACTTCAACACCACTGTTGTAGTAGGCACTGGTGCTGCTGCAAAGGAATCCAGAATCTTTGTCATGGATGGTTCTGGCGTTACTGCCTCTGACTGCTCTGAGATTACTGATGTAGATGCAACTGACAGTTCTGCAGTTTTTGTAGCTGGTTTCAGAGTTTCTAAGATGTGTGGCTCTGGTACCTCCACTGATACTACAGGAGGTTCTAGCACAACTGCAGGGGATTCATTGGTCTCAGACAGGCCAAATGCTCTTGTAGGAAGCTCCAGCGCCATAGCTGAAGGTTCAGAATCAAACTTTAAAAAGGAATCAGATTCTAAATCTATGTTCCCATCATGATGAGATTTCGTCTTTGACTCAGATTCTTCTGGCTGTCTTTTATATTTTTTTTCCTTTTCTTTCTTCTTTTTCTTCTTTTTGTTTTTATGCTTTTTATGCTTCTTTGACTTTTTAGTGGGAATTTCATCAGTAGGATCTGTTTGTACAGATACACATCTACTTTTTCTGGAGGCCTCTTTCAAGTCTGAAAGTAATAGAAATTAATTTTGTCAGACATTCCCCAAACTAGAGTTAGATTAAATTATATAAGCCCATATTTACATTCCATGTTAAAATACCGTAGTACAGGCCAGGTGCAGTGGCTCACACCTGTAATGTCAGCACTTTGAGAGGCTGAGGCAGGTGAATCACGAGGTCAGGAGTTCAAAACCAGCCTGGCCAGCATGGTGAAACCCTGTCTCTACTGAAAATACAAAAATTAGCCAGGCATGGTGACATGCACCTGTAGTCCCAGCTATTTGGGAGGCTGAGGCGGGAGAATCACTTGAACCTAGCAGGTGGAGGTTGCAGTGAGCTGAGATTGCACCACTGTACTCCAGCCTGGGCAACAGAGCAAGACTCTGTCCAAAAAAAAAAAACTCATAGTATAACACCTCACGTTAAATTAAAAGTTACCCAATAAACTATTTTTCATAAAACATCCTGGAGACTGCTACTTTTCTGATACTTCTTTCCACAACTAATGCCTGGTTTAAAAATAAATTATTAGTTTAACACCAAAACTTACTTTGAATTACATTAAGATATGTTTCACGAAATTCTATAAAATAATTATTTCCTCCAGCTCTCAAATTATAGCAAAATTACTTTTAAACTACTTTCGTCAAGGAATATATTTCATGTTATTAGTTGCTACCATTCCTATTAAAAATACCCACATAATAAAATTTTTGCGATTAGTACCCCTTGTTTACACAGGAAGCAATATGGCACTGGCTCTGAAACAGACTGCCACTTTTGAATCCTCAATCATCACTACTAGGTTAATGGTCTTGGCCAAATTACTGACACACATGTTGTGTCTTCTACAGTTAGAGGATAAAGTGAGTTAAAACATGCAAAGTACATCAAACAATGCCTGGCACAGAATAAGCTTTCAGCAAAGGTTAGTGATTGCTTCTACAGAGTATAAAAATATCTGAACAACAAATATAAAATATTCAGAGAACTCAAATTTTACCTTATTATGCCTATGTTGTCACATTCTAATAAAAATAACATTTTCCCCCAATACTATTCTAAAACCACTAATAAATAACTTTTTAAATGTTTCTATTTTAGAAAATACTGATTTTAGAGAGGAAATTCTTAGTCCTTAATTTATAACTTAAGAAGGTCTGAATTTACATACCCTAAACAGATGGGAGTATTCAACTTTAACAACCAAATGAGATTTATTTACTCTAATGCCAGTATCAAATTAGATAAATCTTAGGGATCCCAAAAAAAAGCTCATCAGAAATCTGAGCCATTAAGACTACAGAAAAAAATAAATCAACAAATCAACACTTGACATAGGCCGAAGCAAAACTAATCATTTTCTATTGTTTCATAATACAAAATGTTAGCTAAGTTATACTTCAATCAAGGTTGTTAAGAGTCATGAATCTAAGGATAGCTAAAGTCTGTGAGAGTCATGAACTTTATTTACTTTAGCACAGCTAAAGTTCCCCCCAAAAAAGAGAAGGACAAACCATATTACAAACTTGATTCCAGAACTAAATCAAGGTAATGACTGTTATTTTTGTGGCTAAATCCTTCATTTCTAAACAATGATTAATCAATTCCAAAAAACGCTAAATATTCAAGCAATGACTCCTCCTCATCCACTGCAGTTTAAGTGTGATGGATGTTTTTACGCAACTGTTTAATAAAAATGCATGCTCAAATTCCTGATACTAAGAAACTGAATCAAATAAACTGAAACTAAGTCAAAGATAAAAATTGTATTCTACCAGCAGAGCAAATAAGTACATCAATGTTTGTGTTTCAGTGGAAGTATGGAGAATGTAAACAAGCAAATCTTCATTAAATCAATTTTTAAAAAGCTTAAATTTACTGAATTTTTTTTTTGAGACGGAGTTTCAAAAAATAAAAATAAAAATCTCAGCTCACTGCAACCTTCGCCTCCTGGGTTCATGCGATTCTCCTGCCTCAGCTTCCAGTAGCTGGGATTACAGACAGCCACCACCACACCCGGCTAATTTTTGTATTTTTAGTGGAGATGGGGTTTCTCCATGTTGGCCAGGTTGGTCTCGAACTCCTGACCTCAGGTGATCCACCCACCTCAGCCTCCCAAAGTGCTGGGATTACAGGAATGAGCCATTGCACCCAGCCTGAAGTTTTTAATTTAATAAATATCGTAAATACTAAGGTCAAACACTAGTATTAACTTTCAAATTTCAAAAAACTCTTAAAAGAAAATTTTTGAGACAGTTAATTATCTCCAACTTACCTGGCTTATATCGTAGTTCTGTATCTAAGACCCCAGAAAGTACTTCCTCTATCTTCTGCACTATTTCTTCATTTGGTAGACTCCTGGCAGAGGCAGCTGCATCACCCGCCTGGTTTCCTTCAATGGGTGTATTTGTTTCACCATTCAGCTGGCCTTCATTCCTTCCACTTGACATGAAAAGTTATCGAAATTCATTAATATTTTGTCATATCATTAATAAAAAGAGTAATCCGAGTAATTACAATAATCATATGTTGTACTGACGGTCAGACATTTTACCTTTTTCCTATTTTAGATATTCACCACTAATAATGTATCCTTAACAGGATCTACTTATATTTAAGACATTTCACTTTATACAATTAAAGTTTTCAGAACTATGAAAACTAAGAAAAACTCTTTAAAACAGGTTTCTAAGTACACTCTTATTTAAACAAAATAAATTCAGAAATCTAACTTTAGGCTTTTGGGTTGCCCATATATTTCTCTCAGGGGAGAAAAATTAATAAGAGCCCAGTCATAAATCAAAAGGCCTAACATTATGGTAGAAACCATGGCTACATTAAAGCCACACCTGTGCATAAATCACAATCACCATCAATAGTATCAAGGAACACAAAAGCTAGCCACAGGCACACTGAATAAAAAGGGTAACCTGTAACCTCTGTCCAGGCTTACATTGTTATTGAAATGCCACTAAACTTAAAAAGGAAAATAATTTATGTAATTTTTACACAATTATCAAGAACCGTGGTTTAAAAAACTCACATAAAACAAGTGGCATTTATACCAACAGTAAAAGCATAGATGGCTTAACACATTTTCCATTCACAGGGCCAGAGAAATCTTTAAATAGGTAAGAACATGTCATTCGCCCAGTAATTTCTACTATTTTCGTGTGACTTTGCAAAATTTTGAAAAATCAAATAATTTCAGCAACAGTTTGATTTTAACTTCAATTTTAGCTAAACGAAAACACATAAAACAATTATGCTTCACTACCTGATAAAAGTCTGAATGATGAAAAACCAAAAAAAATTCAGGAGTTACCTAAATGTTATCAAGGAACATCTGGTTTTCTAATACAATGAATTGTATAATTATAATTATATTAATTAACATTTATTGACTACTAGCTAGTGTCATACTGTTCTACATTAACTCATTTAATCCTAACACAACTCTAAGATCACCACTATTATTCTTTTATAAATGAAGAAACTTAGCTGAAGGTCACACAGCTACTAGGAGGTGAAGCTGGTACTCAAACCAGAGGCCATATTCTTACACACCATCTATAACAGAAGTTCGATAACTTGTTTTAACTATCTGTCAGCCTCAATACTCTAATTTACATAAAAGCAGATGAGAAAAAAAATAGCTCACTGAAATGGCAAATAATCAAAAACTTGTTTGCAGACTGATAATGCATTGTGTGTTGCTTGAAGAGAAACTGCATATTCCTCTAGTAATAAAGTGCTTCGTCTACTATTATTTTTAGATATTCTTTTCTGTAGCACTTTATTTTACAATTTTCCTAAGCACTTATACATGATTATGACAAATCTGAAAATCAGAAAATTATGGTTTTAAAAGTTAATCTACAAGGAAGTAATGATTTCATCTTAAAGCTACCAACTGTTAACTGCATTTACTGAAAAGCAATGAAAATTTCAAACCACCTAAATATGCAACAATATATTCCTACAACGGGATTCTACGCAGTCATGAAGAAGTCCAAAAGACAGAATGGGAGGGACAAACTTGTTAACAACGTATTAGCTGGAAAAATGATCAATACAAGATGATCACATATCACACAATACATGGGGGGGGAAAAATGACATAAGAATATCAATAATGTGAGTTTTTTCATTTCTTCTAAATTCTCTATAATAAAACACTCATTTTCTAAAGGAAAGACTAGCTTTTAAAAGCTACAAAAACACAGCTTGTTAAACTAAGCAAACAACTACTTAAAGCATCCAGCAAGATTTGTCAGGAAAATTATATTCTCTAAGCTCGGGTCTCTTCTCATCCTAAAACACTACTAGCAATATCACAGATATTTAAAAAGCAATGTGAGTGGATCTATTTCCTCTTAAAAAACAAAACATTCTGCAAAAGTGATGATTCTAGCAATAATACATCATTGCCCTAATAATCCTGTATTACTTTGGGCACTTACAACTGGTTTTCGGCCCATTTTCAAATTCACGTACTGCTCTTGCACTCAACTTTTAAAATACAATTAAAAACATTCGAACTCGGAACATTTACGTTTCAAGATCTCTTTCCTACCTCTGTACTTTAAAGAACTGAGTATCTTATACAAAGCTAATACCGAAAGACAACCGCTGAACATGATACACTATTTTCCTGACTAAACAACCATTTCTTTAACAACCTCTTCGCCTTCAAATTTTGTGAAGCCAAGCGCAAATTATGTAAAGTCTACCAGCAACGACAAAAATAGCGTGTCAACTGGGGCAGGGGTAGCAAAAAAATAACAGACCTACACACAAAGTCCACTTTCACTTGCTGTAATTAATCACTACCATTTCAAAGTCCCCTTCCATCGTCATCTCGAGTATTTTAACAAAGTAGCAAATATTAGTTTGAGTTAGTTTTAATTGAAACATTTAACTATTAGAACGGCTGATAGACACTACAGGACACTAGGCTCCGAATAATCTTATTAATAGATCCAGACCCCCAAGCGCTCTGAAGCTCGCAATAATAAAGAGGATTTAAGATTACTCAAGAAACGGCCGTTAGAGACCCTTTCCGGTCATAGGCACCGGCCGGCAAAATCCGCGGAGGCGGAGAGGGGGAGGGGATACGCGGCGGCGGAGGAGGAGCTGAGGAAGGAACTAGGCCCGTCCCTGGCGGACAACCGGGCCTACGAGTAGCTAAACGGCAGGGGGGAACCAAACAAGGGAGAAGGGTGAGCATCTTAACTCGGTTCTAAAACAGGGAGTCTGGGGTTACCTCGGAAAAGGCGAAGTTCCTCGAGGGGGAAGGAAGGGAGCGGCTGGGGGGGCGGTTGGGGGGGGCCCGGAAAATGGATCCCAGGCCCAGGCGGGGCCTGAGCCGAGGAACGACGGCGTCTCCGAAGAAAGATGCCAAAGAAGGCTAGGTGAGGCCCTAACGGTCCGCTGGGAGCAGAAGAATCTGGGAGGCGTTTACCTGGAAAGCTCCTGTTGAATTTCCCGGAATTTGCTGACCACGAAAGACCTAAAAATCTGCTCGATGTTGGTCGCCATGGCGTCCGCTCCGTTCTCTCAACTCCTCCTCGCTAGTCCTCCAGGCTCCCAGCATGCCTCGGGAGGAGGCGCAGCGGCCAATTCGGTCTCTCGCCTTTCTGATTGGCTCCAAAGGGAACGCCCGGTCCAGCCCGCTCCACCGAGGGACCAATCAGTGAGCACGGCCCTGCTCTCCTCCGCTGTTTCTGAGCGGCTGGGGTAGAGGTGCTGACGTTTGCGCCGCGCACGACTATGTCCGCCATGTTAGTGTCTGACGCAGGCGCCATTACAGGAGCCGTCTCTCTTGAGGCGACTGTGTCCGCCTAAGTTGTCAGTACCCAGCAGTGTTTGGAAGCCTTAAGAGGCTTGCTAAGCGCCTGAGATTAAAGGCCAGGAAGAAGAGGAGCAAGAAGGGCAACCCAGTGTTTAACATAGGGCTTCCAGGCGCTTGCAGGTGGCGCCAAGTTCAGTTTCGACAGGGATATGCATCCGGGAGAAAATTTTTCAGCCCCCGCCCCCGCTGGGATGCGAAGGAAGAACTGGCTGTAGCCCTGTGTCTCCCCCAGTGCGTCGTATAACCAGCCTCATTTTAGGCCGGATGTTCTAAGTGACCGGCATTCAAAGCCTGGTTTATTTTACTCTCATCAGGAGTCAGGCGTGTCACGAGATTTTTCCGCGGTAGCTGGTCAGCTCTGACTCGTGAGCGGTGCACAATTGGCTAAGAATGGGTTTAGCATTTTGGCGCTCCCCCTCGGAGCTCCTGGAAACACTGCGTGGCACCCCATACCACTGTCACATTATGAACGTGCTAGGGCTTGGGTGTCTTGGCTGGGGAGCAGTCAGGCCGCGCCCAGGGCGGGAGGGAATCACTAGATGCTCGCCGCGGAGACCCAGGGCCGCGCGGACCAATGGGGCAGGGAAGCCGCCGCGGGGCGGGGCGGTGAGGGGCGGTGCCGAGCTGGTCCCGCGCTGGTCCCGCGCCGGTCCCAGTGGGCCCACTTCCGGCGAGCGGGTGAGCTGGAGCCAGGTGGCAGCCTGGTGTCGGTGCGTAAAGCCCCCTCAGGTTTTACACAGAGCGCGCTTAGGCTTTGGTTTGGGGATTTAAGATCGGGAACTGAGTGAAACCGTAGAAACTGGTTTGTAGAAATTTTCGTGTTGTTTGTAAATGCGGTGGGTGGGGGTTGACCATGTGCTTTTCACTTGTTACTGTTAGGCGAAGTTTCTGTTTGCTCTTTTTACTCTTCCTGTTTTCTAAGATATCAAGGCCTTTTTGTGTCTTTATGCATTTTTAGAACATAACCCTAAATTGGTGTACTTTGTCAGATTTTCTCTTTATGCATCCGTTGTCTCTAACAGATTACTTGGTTAATTTTGTAATTGGTTTCTGCTTTATTCTCCGTATCCTCCGATGTGGCTTTATTTGCCTGTCTTATTCTCCTTATGTTACCCATTCTGATGAATGAGTCCCAAGGTTAGTGAAGTCCCCCAGAGTCTCCCTGCTAGTGTGGGGCAGGGTCTCTACCCAGGCCGAGGCGCTGTGTGTGACTCTGGAGCCCAGGCGTCCTCACTACTGGGTCGTAACGCTGTTTTCATTAAACAGGAGAATTTTCCCACTCTACTAGTATATTCAAACTAAAGATGTAACATTTGCTCTAGATTTGAACATCTATTTGTTTCTGGCCGTATGTGATATAATCCCAGCACTTTGAGAGGCCAAGGTGGATTGACCACTGGAGGTCAGGAGTTTGAGACCAGCCTGGCCAACATAGTGAAACCCCGTCGCTACTAAAAATACAAAAATTGGCCAGGCGTGGCGGCGCACTCCTGTAATCTCAGCTACTTGGGAGGCTATGAGGCAGGAGAATCGCTTGAACTCGGGAGGCTGAGGTTGCAGTGAGCCGAGATCACGCCACTGCCCGGCAGCCTGGTCGACAGAGCGAGACTCTGTCTAAAAAAAAAAACAAAAAACTGTTTATTTCAGATACGCATGGCAAGTAAAATGTGTTTTCCCATTACACTAAAATAGCTTTTGCTTCCGAGACTGTAATTTAACAGGGTTTTTTTTCCTTTCTCAAATTTTTAATGATCATCGTTTCACTTGAGAGAATCTGAAGCAAAATTGTTTCTGTTAGGCTCTACCCCCTCTTACCTGTGTGACCTCCAGCAAGTTATTTACCTATCTGGGCCTCCTTGTCTTATCTGCAAATTGGTGATAGTCATAGTATATCCTTCATAGGATTCTTTCATGACAAGCATTTTACCCTGCCCAAGGTAAGTGCTCAAAAAATGTTAGTTGTATATATTGTCAGCTTACATTTTTCTTAATATATGTAATCCCAACATCATCAAAAGAAGTTTTCAATTTTCTTTTTCTGTTACCAGTTTGCCTTGTGGTAAGTAAATGTAACAAGTTAACATTTACTACTGCTGAGTGCTAGATTGTGCTTATTTGTAAATACCATTTCAGTTAATCTCCTAGGTTACACTGCTGTTGTATCCATTCTTCTAAGTCTCAGGTGCCAGAACTAAAGCGAAATGAGTTGTAATTTGATTTTTGCCTTCTCTCTCAATTTTCTAGCATATTGCACTGTTTGAATTAGGAATCAGCAAACTATGGCCCACATCCCAAATCCTGCTGCTGCCTGCTTTTGTACAGCTCACCAGATATGAATGATTGAGAAAAAGAACAGGAAATAAATGAGGTTTTTGTGACATGTGAAAATTTTATGAAATTCAAATTATAGTATCCATACATAAAGTTGTATTGAAAGCGAGTCATGTTTATTTGTTACAAACCTTTGATGGTTTCCTACTACTTAAAGTACTGATAGGCAACAGTGACCTCTGACCCACTGCCTGTTTATGGGTCAATTAAGTTTTCCTGGACATTGGCACATTGATTCATTTATGTATTATATTTGGTTGCTTTCCTGCTAAGGTGGCTGAGGTGGGTAGTTTGACAGAACCATGTGGCCCTTTTTGTGTAAAGTTGCTTACCCGTTTTCAGTATATCCTTCAATTTATGATAATCTGATTATCGTTAAGATTTCAAGGTTTAAAAATTGATATTTTGTAATACATTTTGAGTCTAAAACATGAAGATTCATTTCATAAGTAAGGCATGATGATTATTAAATCTTTTTGAAGTGAAGCCCAGAGAAGGGAGATTATATCACATAAGGAGCTGAGAGTCATCATTTGACTCCTTAACCTAGCTCTCTAGGCCAGCCTGCCTTCTTTTTGAAATACCTCCCTTACCCTTGTGACCACAGTCATATTTCTCAAATTATCAATCCCAGTTTTTCAAAAATGAATCATTGGATGAAAATGTAATTTGTATGAGTACAAATGATTACTTAAATTATATTTACAAATCTGGATTTCTTTCTTTTTTTTTTTTTTTTGTTGAGATGGAGTCTTGCTACGTTGCCCAGGCTGGAGTGTAGTGGCGTGATCCTGGTTCACTGCAATTTCTGCCTACTAGGTTCAAGCAATTCTCCTGCCTTGGCCTCCTGAGTAGCTGGGATTTACAGGCACCCGCCACCATGCCTGGCTAATTTTTATATTTTAGTAGAGATGAGGCTCTGCCATGTTGGCCAAGGCTGGTCTCAAACTCCTGACCTCAATGATCCACCCGCCTCGGCCTCCCAAAGTGCTGGGGTTACAGGCATGAGCCCCCATGCCCATTCCTGGGTTTCTAAAATGTGCATCCTAAGATACCAACTGTGGTTTTCTTTCTGCAGGTTTCATTTTCCTTTGGAATTTCTGCTTTACAGACAGAGCAATGGCAGCCCGAGTACTTATAATTGGCAGTGGAGGAAGGGAACATACGCTGGCCTGGAAACTTGCACAGTCTCATCATGTCAAACAAGTGTTGGTTGCCCCAGGAAATGCAGGCACTGCCTGCTCTGAAAAGATTTCAAATAACGGTAATCATGTTTTAAAGTGGGGAGTAATTGTTATGATTTGTTATTAATGGTATGCTGTCAACCATATCTGTGCTTTATGATAATAAAGATAGGCCGGGCACAGTGGCTCATGCCTGTAATCCCAGCACTTTGGGAGGCCGAGACTGGTGGATCATGAGGTCAGGAGATCCAGACCATCCTGGCTAATACGGTGAAACCCCGTCTTTACTAAAAGTACAAAAAATTAGCTGGGCGTGGTGGCGGCGCCTGTAGTCCCGGCTACTCGGGAGGCTGAGGCAGGAGAATGGTGTGAACCCAGGGGGCGGAGCTTGCAGTAAGCCGAGATCACGCCACTGCAGTCCAGCCTGGGCGACAGAGCAAGACTCTGTCTCAAAAAATAAAATAAAATAAAATATAGATTGCTATTCAGGGTTGAGTGCTTTCCTTGACCTTAAAATTTATTTGGTAATTTGAATGCTTGTCGTATGTTATAAACTTAAGGTAACCTATTGTTCAGAATATGGCATTTCCTTATCTTAAACTGTTGTAAACCTGATAAAACACATCCATTGGAAAAGTAATAAGTGCCTAATACAGATTAAAGGCATTTTTGATATGTATTTTTGTAAATAAAAAGTTTAGTATTGCTATTAAATACAACTTTCTGGCCACGTGCAGTGGCTCACACCTATAATCCCAGCGCTTTGGGAAGCCAAGGTAGAAGGATTTCTTGAGGCCAGGAGTTTGAGACCAGTCTGGGCAACGTAGTGAGACCCAATCTCTACAAAAAAAATACAAAAATTAGCCAGGCATGGTGGTGCCCATCTGTAGTGCCAGCTACTTCGGAGGCTGAGGTGGGAGGATTGCTTGCACCCAGGAGGTCAAGACTGTAGTGAGCTGTGATCTTGCCACTACACTACAGCCAGGGCAACAGAGTAAGAGAGACCGTGTCTCAAAAAACAAAGTTTTTAACAGTTGTAACTCTAATAGATAGATCTCAACCCTTATCTCTCTCTCTCTCTCTCTTTTTTTTTTTTTTTGAGACAGAGTCTCACTCTGTCACCCATACTGGCGTGTAGTAGCATGATCTCAGCTCACTGCAACCTCTGGCTCCTGAGTTCAAGAGATTCTTCTGCCTCAGTCTCCCGAGTAGCTGGCACATGCCGCCACACCTGGCTAATTTTTTGTATTTTTGGTAGAGACCGGGTTTCACTATGTTCATCAGGCTGATCTCCAACTCCTGACCTCAGGTGATCTGCCCGCCTCGGCCTCCC